TATATATATATATATATATATATATATATATATATATATATATATATATGAGTGCATAATGTATAAAGTGATAGCTTAGAATAAATAGGTTGTGCTAGAGCTGTTGAATTGCGATGCGATACGATTCGAGCATATGCGTCTTGATGAGTATATGCGCAGAATAGTTGGTTAGTTATTAAGCGAGTTAAGCTTTTCATCTAAATATAGACGCTAACTGCACTGGGAATAGACGATTTATTTCCAGCGTCACGCCTATGCCCTTCTTACTTGATAACCGAATATGGCCGAATCGACTACTGCATTTGTTTTTATGCATTTATCTCAACCCTATTGATATACTACTAAAGAAATATCTTGATGTAAGCTTACTGCGTACGATTTATTGTTTCGAGTGATGTGTCGCCTTCTTCATCCAATGTACTCGTTATATCTACTATTACTATTACTACTATTTCTAATATCAATGTATACTCTTGAGTAAGGACGCAACGGGATGTAATTCCACCCAGTTTTTGGAAGGGGAATCTATTGAGGGAGTCACAGGGTATGTAAGTTTCTGAGGATCTTCAAAACCGTCGAGCACAAGTAAGACCGCTGAACAATTATACTTGTGCTTAAATTCGTCTGAATCAATTTGAACGTATTTTCTGCACGAAATCTCGGTTTTAGGTATAAATTGATTGTCAGCTAGTAAAAATTTTTGAGTGAATGCATTAAGGAGAAGGAGGTATTGTTTGTCCCGAAATTTTTTGTGGATGATCTTTTGAAGAGAAGGATCCAATGAAGCGAGGGATGATTTGTTCATGAAGCAACTGCAAGTAATTAGGATTTACGATTTTTTATTATCGCCAGCATCACAAATAACAAATTCGTCAGTCTTCAGTGTCCCTCTTTCCAAACAGATAACAATGTTAGTGCAGGAAGTCATTCGTCTTTATGAATTTCATTCCCAGAAATGGTTTTCAATTATAGAGTTCTAGGGCTATTGCCTCATTTTACTCAATAACGAAAGATTTTCAACGATCTATCATTGATGCAGACAAATCAGTGATATTCCTGCATCAGTGATAGATTATAAGCGTTGAAAAAAGTTCACTCCGATATATCGAGGGCAAAGTTCGCTCGAAGTAACCGTTCAAAACTACCGAGAGCCGTGAATCAGTGTTATTTCTGCATCAATGTTGGGTAATTAATTAATAAATTATGACATAAATTATTGCAATCGAATAAATCGGTAGCGATCACCAAATTGACTGTCTCACGATCAATCAACAATCGAGGCTCATTATCATAAATATATTAAATAAATAATTTCAAGCAAGTAGCCATAAATAATTGCAATACAAATAAACGCGAACGGCGTCTAAGTAGTAACTAACGGCGAACAATGTTATAATTGCGATTGTTATTTACTCGAGTTACTTTGTTTAGTGATTATCATGGTTTTCGTATTATTGTTATTATTACTATTATTATTATTATTATTATTATTATTATTATTATTATTATTATTATTATTATTATTATTATTATTATTATTATTATTATT